AAAAAACTAAACTGCATATCTTAGTATATATAAATCACTTTCAGCTGATGGAATATAAGTAGCGTATATGACTGCATTGGCCTACTGAGGATTACTATTAGACATCAAGATACCATTCAGAATGATTTTTACTTTGCAGTAATCCAGCGATGCACTGGAATTGGCACTTGACCACTCAGACATATCTACAGGTCTCGCGAAACGTTTTTGGAAAAAGGAGTATTTGCAACATAGTATACAGTGATAATGCGAACGAATTTAACAAAGCAAACTTAGAGCTATATGTACTTCGGAAAATAAAAAGAAAAACGAGGAAATGCAGCGGTTTTTGGGGAATTTATCTAATAAATGGAAATTTATCTTCAAAAGACCTGCCTGACGGGGTAGCTTTTGGGAACACATAATAAAGTAAGCTATTTCCGAGAAAATTCTAGGAAGAGCGTCAGATTCCTTTTAAGAACTGAAAATGTTATTGATCAGAGCTGAGTTATAAACACCAGGTCCCTCATTTATGCTTTCAGTGGTCAAAATGAACTCGAACCGCTAAAATATGGCTATTTCTCAATTGGAAGATAGTTATTGACTTTTCTTCAAACGAGTTAAAAGTTTTCTTCAGTTCATTAAGAAGATACAGATTACGGAAAAAATGAAAATCGTCCTATCTTCTTGAACTTAAGTCAGCCCAACAATCACGTCCAATCAGCTGGTCCAAGAAGTTTCAAGAAAGTACTGTAGTTTTGATAAACGATGTAACGCACCACGGCATTTATGACGAAGGAGTTTTGTGATAGAATTGCATCCTGAACGTGATGGCTCTTTTCGTGCATGGTCCATGAGACTCCTGAATGGAAGAGAACTGTATAAATGGTATGTCCTCTGTAAGCCTCAACCAGCATTTCAGGAACCTCTAGTCTCTTGGCGAATAGTCGGCTCCAAAGAATTCTGAGATGATATATGTTTTATGTTGTGACTCACAAAGATGGCACTTTGATACCCCAGAACTGTTTTGCTTTGTCTTAGCGTTTCGATACTAACTAGAGAGTTGTGTATTGTCAAGAACGCGTAATTGTCTCCCATTATAGTATGCTTAGTAAAGGACTGTGTCTAAATCGTGGTCGATTATTGTTTTAGGAACTCAGAAAATTAAGAAAAAAGGAAATTTTCTATTTTTATTTGAATTGAATTGGAGATTAAATTTTGCTTTAATTATTTTAGAACTGTCTTTAAGTACTAAATACATTGGATACGGGTGATGAATTTTCAAATGGGCAAGAATATGATTCGCTCTTTGACACCGTTGATGACAATTAACCCTCTGAATGAAAAATGCACTTTTTCTTTCTAGAAAATATTTTTTATATATTTTTTTATCATGAGAAACTAAGTTGGCAGAAAAACCAATTTCAGACGTTATCGGAAAAAAAATTAAATAACTTTCAGTCGAATTATAATTGATTTCTATTTATTACATAATATAAAAAGTAAAATGTATAAAATTTAGGAAAATATGAAGTACTGAGGAAAAAATACCTTAGAAATGCAGTTTAGTATGATAGAGTTCAAAACAGGGTTCAAGGCAAAGTCCAGCTTCACAGTCTTTGCACCAGATTCAATAGATCTAATTAATAATCAACCTAATTATTAGTCTAATCAGTAAATCTAATTAATGATTCGATAATTTAATTAACTAATCAAGATAATCACTGAACGTTTTCTATCAGTCATTTCTGTAAGAAAAATGCGGCAAAAAGTAAAGTTTGGACGGTAATACCACGTGCCTTCAAATGCCGTAATTTAGTGGACAGCTAGCGATATCTGTTGACCAAAACCTAAACTAAACGCCTAATACTGTATATAATTAATTTCAATGGTTAAACGGGGAAAAAACGGGATGTGCTCCTCAATAAAGGAAGAAAAACGTATGCCCGCGGAAATCGCGGGATAAGCAAAATTTGCTACATTTGAGTTGCCCGTGGAAATCCTGGAATGAGCAGCCAGAGGGTTAAAAACAGATCTGTTTGGAAAACTTAGAAAGTATCTGAAAATTTAAGTAAAATTAGGTACTCTCTTCTTGCAATTCAAGGCGTTCCAAATAATACTGTCATACATAAAGTTTAATAATATTAAGGAATTAAATTAAGTATATTTATGTAGTCTTTAGTTCTTTAGTCCGATGTTAACATTTTCAGAGCTTAGGAATTCATGTCGATGCTATAGGAAAGCAAAATGGCAGACTCTTTCAGTAGCTGGTTTGGGAAAATAAAATAAAGGGGTTAAATTTCCTTTGGCCACTGTTCAACCTAGTTAGTCGATCTTAACTGTACCTGCATGAGAGGGCTGTTTTTTCACCTTGGTAACCAATTAAATAGAGAGATGTCCCCTTTTTAAGGTTTATATTTCTGTAAGCGTATTTATTGCAGAATGAAAGTACAACACCGGATTTCTTAAAACTAGTCGTGAAAAGTGTGTTCTGACATCTCGATAGGAGCTCCCCTTTTTGTACGAAATCATAAGTGTCCACTCTGGGTTCTTTTTTGTGAACACATTTTTATGCGAATATTATGTGATGTGTGTTAGATTCCTACATTCTGAGTTTTAGTATTTTTCAGATTAAATCATATTCAAAGTTGTTTGATTAAGCTTTATTAATTAGTACATTTCGGGTATTTTTTTAACTGTTGGTTATCTGATGTAACTACATAATAATACTTTTTAATTTTAAAGGGATTCTGAAGACTAAAATTTAAACCGGAATAAAAAATTTATATTATCTAACGTGAAACTTTAAAGAGACTGACGCTAATTTATGTCGTACCGAGATAATGATAAATAATAGCTGGTTAACTTATTTGAACAAAAGTCTTCTCTGTCTAAAGCTGTGTCCACGGAAATATTTAGAGATGAAATTAATGATCATCTTCTTAATGGCCTTTAAAAAAATTGCATTAGATGTTTATGAAATGATAAACTTGAGAAAATTGCACAAATGTTCGTCAGGAGTTTCCGGACTAAGTAGACCATGCTGGGTGTTTACGCGAGTACATATTTTTCCAAGCTGACACTTTTATTTGTCTCTTAAGCTCCCAGATTAGTAACGAAACTGTTATAATTTACAATATACTTCCAACAAATAAAAAATATACCCCTAATTAAGTATCCCCTACTTCCGCACCAGTTCAGTGGTTTTAGCCCACCGGAAGAAGACAAAAAAGCAAAAAGGAAAGTTTTCGTTATCTGTGAAAGTCCAACTTTAGCAAATGGGCAGCATAAATAATAAGAGAAAAATAATTGCAGAAAAAAAATGCGCCACACATTTTCTTCTTTACTTTTTCTGTTTTTTCTTATCAAGTTTTGTTCTAATATGGCACAGCAGATTTCATTATGATGGGCGTTGAATTTCATTTCGCTAGAAATACATGCATTTAGAAGAACAATGGTGTAAAGAAACTTTTATCGTCCATGTGAGTAAGAGAAAGCATTAGTTTCGTTATTAGTTTATGATTTTGTTTTATATATCTTTTAGTTATAAGCTGGTAGCAGAGCAAAATCTATTTTTTAAATTTGGCTTATATTTAGTCACCAAACTGTAAGTATTCGCAAATATATGTCATTACGAATAAAAATATATATGTATCAATGTTTTCCTCAAATTTTTATATTTGAAGGTTATAAATATTATTGCAAAACCTTTGGCACACAAACACACATGTTTAACTTCTGAGGCCTCAACATTATTTTCCAAGATCCATGGTAGAGTTCAGTTGAAGAGCAAACGGCAAGGAAAATAAAATATATCGACTTATTGATTTTGTAAAAACAATATTTTAATAAATTCTTGGAAAGGAAAATATTTATTAAAAATTTCTCCTTTATCCGCTGATTTTTTCTTGAATTATAAAATTGAGTTTTCTGGAAATATCCATTGACAAATTGATTGAAAAGTAATCTTATTTTCAGCTACTTTCAAGAGAACAACAAAGGAACCTCAATATCAGAATGCAACGTTATCTTTCATTGATATAGCCTACTGAATTTATTGAATATTAGAACAAATATATTTACAGAAATAGTCGGATATATCGTCTTAAATTTCGTTCAAATCAATAGCTTCCACAAGAGTGTGTCATAACCCTTTTAACTTATTTTTGCTGACTGTGGATGCAGTCAAAAGATATTAGTATCCTAACAATTTTGAATGAAATTTAGGACTTGAAATAAGCAGAAGACAAAACGTATAACTTATGGGTATTTTAATAAATTAGATTCACAGACCGACATTTGGTTTCATCTTATGCGTTTTAAGGAATATATTAGGAGATAGTATTTTATACTTATTTATTTCCTATCATAAACATGAAGTATAGAACAAGCAAAAGAACATTTATAAATACAAAACGTAAGTGATGCCATTCACAAAAAGAGTAATGTTATTTTTAATAGTTCGCTGGCTTTGCCGCAACATCCTCCCCACCCTGGTCAACCTCCAGGGGGATGACCAGCTGCACAGGTAGGGTAATGGTATGTCCATTGGTGCGCAGAACACAAGTACGGACTCTTTTGTCGCGGCCAAGGATTAGCTCCTCAACACGGGCTTTCTTCCAGGTGTGGCGAGGTCTAACATCTTCTTGTAGTAGGACAATGTCCCCTTTCCGTATTTTATTTGTTTCAGATGGATTCCGCACTTGATGAAATGTTCCATCAAATATTCCTTTTGCCATCTTTTCCAAAAGGAGTCCATCAAATGTTGACGATTTTTCTACATATGATTTAAATTTGTTTCAGGATTTGTGGGGCTGGAAGGAATAGTGGTTAATTTCTTTCCTATGAGGAAGTGCGAGGGTGTTAAAGCTTCCTCAGAGTCATCTTTTATTCCATATTCGTGAACAATCGGTCTACTGTTAAGAGCGGCTTCAATATCACATAATACAGTGATCAAACCAGCGTCCTCCAAAAGCGTCCCTTACCTAATGTTTTCCGAAGGCATCGCTTAATTGAGCCTATCATTCTTTCCCACCATCCTCCCCACCAAGCCGCTCCTTTCCACCAAGGCTCGGGGCGATGAATTTCCATTTAATGTTGTGGTGGGCATAAAACTGTTGTGCCTTGGCAGAGGATATAGTATCCCACAATAACTTCAGCTCTTTGTCCGCAGCGCAGAAAGTTGTGGCATTATCAGTGTACACTGTATGAGGAAATGAACGTCTAGAGACAAAACGTTGTAATGCAAGTAGGAAGACGTCAGTACGCAGATCGGAAACTAATTCTAAGTGGATAGCTCGAGTTGTAGCACATGTGAAGATGACAATGTAGGCTTTTGTAACGGAGTTATTATTTTTTACGTAGAGTGGTCCAGCAAAATCAATTCCGGTAGTTTCGAAAGGAGATGACTTTTGAATTCGCTCAGCTGGCAGTGGAGCTTCTATCTGTTAACTTCTCTTTTGTTTCAGTACTTTACATGGAAGGAAAGTTTTTATGACTTTTTAATGGCTTGTCTTGCTCTTAATACCCAATATTCTGAACGAAGCTGAGAAAGTACAATCCGAACACCGATATGATGCATTCGTAAATGTGTTTGGCGTATCAGTAGGCTTTCAAAAGGATGAGAACCTTCCAATAATATGGGATGTTTTTCAGCATGAGATAAATCAGAAAATTGTAGTCGACCACCAAGAAGTATAATATTGTTCTTGAAAAAAAGGGTTAAATTGTTTTATCCTTGATTTCTTAGGGAGTGATTTTCCTGTCAACAGAGCTTCATATTCTGAAGGAAAGGATTTTTTTCTGAACGGTCTGTATCCAATAAATACGAGCTTGATTCAGTTCTCTGTGGCATGTAACTCACCCATTAACTTTTCTTGTTTTCCTACAGTTGTGAATAAAGCGAAGAATCCAAGATGTTACACGTAACAATAGAAAGTAAGAACTGTAGTTTCCAGCCTTTATGATTGGTTGAGTAGATACGATGTGAAGGGTCTGAACTTTTTCTTTCTTTGCTTCTAAGTTATGACTGTAACCTTTAGAAATAGTATCAGAATGAGGCCAATATTCTGGAGATTTGACTAACCATGGAGGGCCGTTTCCACCAAATTTCCAGGTTTTTTAGTGTTGATGGGGAAACACCTCGAGAAAGTTTGTCAGCTGGATTGTCTTTTGCCAGGGCAATGTCTCCATTGTGAAGGATTAGTATAGGAAATAATTTCTGTTACTCTGTTGTTAACAAAAGTTTTCCATTTTTTGGGGTCACTGCGTATCCACCCTAAGACAACTTGAGAATCACTCCACAATGTTGCATTTGACGAACAGATGTTTGTTTCAGCACAGAAATATTGCAAACAATCGTGCTCCCATCAGGGCGGCCAAGAGCTCCAATCACGAGCGTAAAGGTAACTTTCTTTATAGGAGCTAGTTTATTGCGACTACACACTAAATTCACATTCGATTGTTCACCTTTAAAGGTAACAATGTACAGAACTGAACCATAGGCACGTTCAGATGCGTCACAAAACACAATGAATAGCAAAAGGAACATGTGATGAAATCCCTATGCATCGAGGAAATTTGAAGGGAGCAAATGTCATCAAGTTCTTTCACAGCTGCATACCATAAAGTTGATAAATTAGCAGGTAGTAATTCATCCCACTTGATTCCAAGAATCCATGTATCTTGGAATAAGGATTTTCCCAAGAATAGTAAACGGTGAAAAAAGGCCTAAGGGATCATAAAAACTAGCAATGCAGCGGAGTAACCATCTCTTTGTAAGTGGTTTGTCTGTAGAAACACAGAGGGAAGTCTTGAATGCATGCTTCAAAGTATCAGAAGTTTGTATTCCAGCCAATACCTAAGACAGTTGTTTCCGTTTTGTGAGATTCTTCATGTGTTTGTAGTACATCTTTTGAGTTTCAAAGAGTTTGTAGCCCATTTTTCCATAGGCAATTTCATTAGAGCCATTAAATTCTTGATCTCGTGATATAGCATTATAATGCGTGATTCAGTTTCCATACTAGCAAGAAAAGTCAGCCATATAGAGATGTTTATCTATCATTGGTGCAGCAATTGGAAATTCTGCGATATGTTTTGCAGCCAATTCTCGTGTCGGCAGCACAGAGTAAAAACGGACTGCAAGTAAAGGCCAAATGGTAAACGAGTAAATCTGTAAACAGTTATTTCATCTTTGTAAAAGTAGTAGGTTGAGATTAATCAGATTTTAATTTGTACCAGAAAAATTTTGAGACGTCCCTATCTTCTTTATGTAGTGACAACTGTAAAAAAAGCTTCCTTACCATCACATGTAACAGCGAATTCATGCAATCGAAATCTTAGTAGAACAACCAATAGATTTCAGGAAGAAGATTCGGGCCAGCTTCCAAGGTATCGTTCAGTGAAATCATTCCTGGAGCATGCGAGGAAGCATCAAACACAATTCTCCACTTGGTTTCAGATTGTCGTTTTCTTTCTTACAGCATGATGAGGAAGGTAATATACTGGCTTCTCATTGGATTCATCTATGGAACAAACTTCAGCATGCTTTTGTTCAATGTAATTCAGCATGCAGTTTGTCATAGTTGTGTCTTTAACACATCACTAGATGCAAGTCGTTTTTTTAAGAGAATGAAAATCTGTTTTCCCGCTATAATTTTGTTTGTAGGCAAAGGTGTGACCAATGGTTTTCTAGGCAGAGACACAATTCTTTGATTGTCTTCAGTGTTGTACGTTTTGTGAAATTCTGATAAAATTTCTTCATCTCGAGTAGTCATTTTTCGTTTCTGCGCATCTTGTATCCCTGTGGAGTCTAATTCCCAGAAGCGACGTACCTGATCATTTAAACAATCAGTTTTAACTTGCACACAAACTTGATGGACAGAAGTCTTCTCAGCGATTGTAGTATGTGTTCTTGTTCCACTAAGAACACATCCAAACACTGACGGTACCATAACAAAAGATTCTGAAAGCTTGATTGGAGCTTCTGTGGAAACAATTTGCCAATAATGATCACCACCAATAAGTATTTCTATGGGCAGTGAAGAGTCAATCCGGAGGATCAGCAATTCTCAATCTTTTCTTCTGAGCAAAGTGAACTATTTCTGGTGGAGCAGTAGGATATAGTAGTATAGGAATTGGAGCTTTCAAATGCGGAGATCAAAAAATGATTGGTTGCTCCACAAACTTGAAAGTGACAGTTGAACACATCTACGTTGTTCTTGTGAAGTAAAAGATTCAAATGCTTGAACTGAAAATGAGGCAGAACTGACAACTTTAAGCTTCAAGTTTTTCAATGAGGTTTGTGTGAACAAAACTTGCTTGGCTACCACCATCTAAAATGCAACGTGTTAATTTAGTAATGCCTGTGGGGCCAGTAACGTACACACAAGCAGTTTGCAAATGTGTGAAAATTGTTTTAGGAAAGGTTATGTGATTTACAGCACTGCAGTTATCCGCAGTTGATTGTTTTCAACAGGAGGACAAATAGAAACATGATGCCTTTTCTTGCATTTAGTGCACCGTGCAGTATTTTTTCTTGGCCAGTTTGAAACTCTAGGACCACGGTTAGTACACAGAAAGCAGCGATTTGAAGTTTTAATTTTCTGAACACGAGTATCATAGTCTGTAACAGTTTCACAATATTGAGGCCAATGTCCTGTAGTATCACAAAATGAACAAAATGATGAAATTTTCTTACGTTTGTTTACTGTTTTGGAATTGATATTAAAATTTTCTACAGTGCACTTTACGGTGTGATCAGAAAAAGACGTACCTTTAACTCTTTGTGCTGCAACTACACTTTCCACTTCTTCTGCCAAAAACTGCATCAATCTAGTAATATTACCTTCGTTTAGTTTTTCACATTTGGCATATATAATCCAGCGGCAACAAATATCATTGGGGAATGCACGAATAATTTTTGGCACTAGGATTCTACCGTATGCTTCAATATTTTCACCCAGAGCAGTTAAAGCTTGAATTTTTCTGTTACATTCTATGTAAAGATCATTTAGATGCGTAGGAGATGGGTCTTGAATAACATTAAAATGTAGTAATTAAAGTGTGATTAGATAATTCGATCTTTATTTCCATACCTTTCCTCCAACAATTTTTTTGTTGTTTCGTAGGTGTCTCCTATTACACCAATTCCATCAACAAGGCGTTTAACTTCACCATCTAAATAACCTCTGAGGAAAACATGTTTATTAATAACAGAAAGATGTGGATTGGCATCTATAGAAGATTTTAAACTGTTCCCAAAAACATTGCCACTGTTCAATTTCTCCTGTAAATGACTGTAGTTTAATTGTTGGCAATTTAACTGTATATGGTTGAGTCATAGGCACTGTAGTAGGAAGGGTCGCCAATTGTCGTCGGCTAAATCATTGGTATCCAAATTTGAAGCAGTTAACATTATTTGGAGTTGGCGATAATTTATTTTGAATAATTTTTCGTGCTTTGAAAATTGCGGATTCACCAGTATCTATGTAGTTTTCACACTGCAAATTATCACTTTCATATTCATCGTCAGAAAGGAAGTTGTGAATTTCGTTATCTATTAGTTTCATATCATTTAAAGCAGTTGTTAAGCGATTACAAATATATTCAACTTTCTCAATTGAGAAATCATCTTTCAAAGCAAGTATCAATTTCAGTAGAAAAAGCAAGAAACATTACTTCGCACGGCTTTCCGCTTTCGTTTCAGTTGCGTCATTTTGTCTACAGCTTCCCCGGTCGGCGCCATTGCCCGAGTAGTAGAAAAAAACAAAAACAAAACTAAGTTTTAATGTCGGAAGTAAAATATTTCAGCAATAATAATTCAACAGTAGGAAGTATAAGTTCAAGGTCCTGTTTCGTAAATGGTTTTTTCGGCACCAAATATTAGGAGATAGTATTTTATACTTATTTATTTCCTATCATAAACATGAAGTACAGAACAAGCAAAAGAACATTTATAAATACAAAAACGTAAGTGATGCCATTCACAAAAAGAGTAATGTTATTTTTAATAGTTCGCTGGCTTTGCGGCAACAGAATATGAGACCTGCAGTCTGATAGAGAATAATAAGTTCAAGCATTCCTTATCGAGTCATATTGATACCAAACATATGAAAGGTAACTACAAAAAAAAATATATTTGAATCACTACCTGGTAAAAGTCGAAAAGGATATAACACTTAGAATCCTTAGAAACAGATTTAGCCAGCAGGTACATAACAAAAGTGTGCGAAAGCTGTTTGTAATGCAGATAAATTTCGTTTCGTATTTTTCTCTTTTGTTCTCTTCCGATTTCTTCAATCATATTTGCATTTAATTTGACATAATATTAGCTTAGGCTCATTATATTCATTAACAGTCCTTTGTCATACCAGACAACACTAGTCATAAATTTGACTAATTTTGTTGACAGATTAAACTACTTGCTAACAAGAAAAGAGTATGTTTCCGGTTCCCTCTCTTTTGTCTATTCTTAGGATCCAATAGATACATTAATACCTAAGGTACTCGCATTAGAAATCACTCATAATACAATCGTTGCGTTTCGAGTACGTTCCAATTTGCAAGCCCGCATATCAAATAATCTGTCTTCGAAATCCTGTTATGGATAATTCGCCATGATGAGATTCACGAATTTCTTTATGAAATTAATTCGGACAATGGTATCATGATAATAGCTTAAGCTCTGAGGGTGTTATGCTTTTGATGTTATGGTTTGCTTGGTTGGTTTTCCAGTAAACATTTATGAGCTCTTAGCTGAAATTCCCGTTGCTTCTTTTTTCAATGGATATTCGTACGAAATGATTCACAGTGATGTGGTGGAGATGTGCTACTTCTTAGCTGGACAAAAATGACAGCCTATTCTTGTTGGACGTATTTCGAAATTACTTTTATCTGACAGTCTGAGTGGATTAAAATGCGTTTAAATATTTTCTTCTTGATAGTTACATTCACCACTCTCATTTTACTGAAACATATTACCAACACCAGTTGTAATTCAGTTTACCTGTTAGAATATGTTAAAACATTATCAAAAGTTACTTTTATATTCTTACACGATCCATTCTCTTTGCTACCAATCTGAGTACCTGACTAACCAAGACGTTTTTGTCGTTGATTTTTCAAACTGATCCTGTGCTACAAAATCACATGTGAATTTTCTTTGCTATAGGCCTAAAAGGTATTTATCTAACTGATGCCAGGATTATTTCAACGTCGGCAGTCATATACTTTGTCATTTACTTTGTTTTGTTACTTCTTGATGCAGTTGAACGACTGAGTGTGAAGAAAGGAAAAGAAGCCTCTAAAATGAATTTGAAATAATTTTACTTGCATTTTGTCGTATCTGAGTCTTGAATGTTCACGTCCCTGTAGTTGGTTGGTTGGTTGGTAACGGAGGACGGGGACGCCTGATGTCTAACAGAGGTAAACAGGCATGTGTCCCGCGCCCTCCACTAACCAGGAACAACTCCCTGAGGCCTCAAGAGGCCGCCTCGGGAGCTTTTTAGGATGTTAACAAGAGCATTTACATGGCCATACAAGGGCAGATTGCATTCGTTTTACCGTTTTGACATTTGTTGTTGCAATTTGCTATGGTAATTTTGCACATTCACAATAAAATTCAAATAAAATACAAATTAAATATACAGATACAAAAATACAGTTACAAAATAATAGGATTAAAATACAGGCTCATAGGTAAAAATAAAAAAAATAAAATAAAAATAAAAATATGCATATACAGAAGAGGAAATGTTAAATACATTTGATTGTACATTATTTGATAAGTGTCTGTAATAGGGACTTATGTAAGTTTTAGGAGTAGACTTATGTGTCTGAGAATGTGGAACTGCATGCTGACTTAGTTAGTGTATCATGCCTTGAGAGTTTTGGTTAATGAGGAGAGCACAAATCTTGGCCCATTCTCTTGAGCTTGTTAACAACTTTGCAAATTGTTTATTTACTGCCGGTTTGTGCTTTATAAGGAAGCGGTGATAAGCTTCACTATTGTTGATGGGAAGAGGGGAGGTGATTTCCTGCTGTCAGATGGCATTCAAAAACATAGTGGTCTGGGGAGCCTTCCGCTCCGCAGGCGCATATGTCCGTGGTTGTTATGCCATGTCTATTGAAGTAGGTCGGGAATGGGCCGTGTCCCGTAATATAAGCCGTAAGAGGAGCTATTGCAATGTTGCGTTCAGTGCTGACTTTCGGGAGGTAGCTGTATGTACGTCTTCCAGTTGTGCAGTGCGTCCAGTCTTCCTGCCAAAGATTTAGGCCTTGACCCCGTAATAGCCCTTTGAGGTAGGAAGGAGGGGCTGGGATTGTGATTTTTTCAGCTTCTGGATCAGTGGCTGCTTGCTTGGCCAGGCTATCAGCTGCTTCATTCCCCTCATTTTCTGCATGTGCCTTGATCCATGTTAAGGAGAGATGTTTCTGCGGGTTGCGGGTTGCGCTGTAAAAGTTGTTGTAATTTGATGATCAAGGGCGAGGTGTGGTTGTGATTATCTAGTGCTAGAAGCGTTGACATACTGTCAGTGAAAATTTTCGCCCGTTCTATATTATTATTGAAAATGTAATCTACC